CATCATTTTAACATTTTGAGACACGTCTCATGAAATTGCCCAGGCTGGCCTGGAATTCACTCTCAGCTCAGGATGGCTTCAAGCTGCTGTCCTCCTCTCTGGGCCTAGCGAATGCTAGAATGAGGGGTGTGAACCACCTTGCCTGGTCAAACCCCTCCGTGGAAAGCAGGAAGAGGGGCGCAGCTCTCTTAAAAGAGGTGTTGAGCTGTCACCAGCTCACCTGTAGGGAACTTCTCTCCAGAAGGATTGTGAAGGAGGGAACTTTTGTACTAGTAAGATTGAAACTGGAGCTGGGAATCCCAGCACTCAGGAGGCAGAAGCTGTTAGGAATATCTCCTAATGTGAGCTCCTTGACGAAGCAAAAATTCCTAATCAAGCCAAATCAAAACAAGCCAAATTAAGAAATATCCAGGTTTAATGGGAGATCTGCGCTCTCAGGTAGCCCCGAGGGGGAAATGGGAAGCCGCAGAAACGCAACCCCCCTGGGAGGAAGAAAGGGGTACCACATGTTTCTGTTTTGGGGGGCCACTTAAGTACCCTGGGGAGTGATCCTGACCCCACTCCCAGGGAGGGGTCAGGACTTGGCCTGCTGGGATTTGAAGTCCAGACCAGGCCTGGAGGCTGGGACCTATGCTCCCAACCTAACATTCTAGACTCTTTAGATACAGGGGTGACAGAAAATTAGAATGGTAATTATGACAAACACTTAGGCTCTCTTTGGGAACAAAGGGCATAGACTCAAATCTGGCTACTTCCTGCGTGCATGGGGCGGCGTGGGGAAGGGGAGAGCCAGGTGTTCACGTTTAGCGAGAGGTGTGGCTGGAAAGGCATCTCATGAACTGTCATCCCAGAGAAAGCAGGCAGCTGTTCCTTGGGGAAGATGAGAAGGCAGGTGTCTAGGGGGAAAAAAAAGTTGTTATCGTTAAAGATGCGTGTGCCAGAATGAGGAGCAGGTAGGCCCTTCAATGTGGCATCCTGGAAAACCGGAGGGTGGAAGGTCCTGTCTGCTGGACAGACCAAGTGTCTTGAGTAGGTGTCCACTTGAGCCTGGAGAGATGGTACCAGCATGGGTGTCCCAAGGGCTTGGCAGCCGAGGGGGGTGTGAGGTCCTGTCCATTGAGATTCAAGAGACCTAGGAGTTAACCGTTTGAGGAGTACTCTGTCCCCTGGGGAGAGTGGGGCAGGTTTAGGGGCATTAGGGTTCACTGGTGTGGTGGCAGGAAGACAACTGTCAGCGTGTGAACGGAGAAGGGACCTTAAAAGGGAGAGGTAGAGTAGGTACCCCGCCAGTGGAGGAGTTTGAACTGGAAGGGGATGGTTAAGGAGAAAGGACCTGCCATAAGGCAACTCAAAAGGGCTCAGGCCCATAGGGGAACATGAGGTGGGGGTGGCTCTGAGGTTAGGGCCAAGACAACCTGAATTCAGTGGAGAGCTTGTTTAGTTGATGAGTCCCATTGTTCAGGAGCTGTTGAGAGCTTCTGACAGAGCTCTATAACCCTGAGCCACCTTGTCTGCTGTTTCCCTGTCAACCTTTGCCCGGTTGGTGTGCACGAAGCTGGTGTATGTGGAGAGCTCCTTGTGGGTTGGCCTGAGCACACGTCTGGCAGGAGGAGTGAGCCTGTAAAATAGAATCTTGGAGATGTGTGGGGTTAAAAGGGGCTCCAAGAAGCAGAACAAAGTTTTGGGGAAGCAGCTAAGGATATCTCCACCCAGTAAATGTGCTGGGTAAGCCGGTATCGCTAAGAAAAAAATGACAAAAAATGTTCTGCAAGATGGTAGGGCAGTGGCAAAGTTTTTAAGTGGGTTCCGTCTACCCCCATAGCTGAAGTTGGTGAGGGAAACTTAAGGCCCGAGTGAGAATAAAAAATGCCATTAGTAGCATGACCCTAGGCTCGGAGAGGGTTACAGGATATACCACGTTTGGGCAGCGTCAATCTTCTGCAAGGCTGAGACGTTTGAAGGCTGGCACAGTTTCACTTGCTGATGGTGATGAGGCGGGACCTCTGTGGCTTGGCATTGAGGACAAGCCCACACAGGGGCATTGTGATTTCCAGTGTCCAGGTTGTTGGCAGATAGGGCACAACCTATCTGCAGGTGTAGTGCAATATCGTGCCACGTGACCATTTAGGCCACGCTTGATAGAGCCCTGTGATTGACTTTCCTTGTCCTCCTTCCTGTGACCTTAGGGAAGCTGGTAAGGCCTGGGCTTGTAGATAGTTGTAGCTTTGTCTGTCGGGAAGACTCAGCTGATTTTTTTGGGCATTAAAAACTTTTTTTTTTTGGTTTTTCGAGACAGGGTTTCTCTGTGGTTTTGGAGCCTGTCCTGGAACTAGCTCTTGTAGACCAGGCTGGTCTCGAACTCACAGAGATCCACCTGCCTCTGCCTCCCGAGTGCTGGGATTAAAGGCCTGCGCCACCACCGCCCAGCTGGGCATTAAAAACTTTAAAGGCCATTTTCACCAATTCCCGTATAGGAGTTTGGGGACCATCGTTTTTTTCTTCTCCTAATATCTGGTACTGACTGAGGAAGCAGAATGATTAGTAGAAAAGGAACACCATGTGGTTGCTGGGAATTGAACTCAGGGACTCAGGGACTCAGGGCCTTCGGAAGAGCAGGCGATGCTCTTAACCACTGAGCCAGCTCTCCAGCCCCTGGGAGAAGGAGATTTTAAGGGAAGAAACCACAGCCCAGTAATCGAAAGGGGCAGGGAGGGTGTCACAGAAAGTCACAAGGGGACAACTCCCTGCCTCTCAAGATCACTCAAGGTCATAATCAGCTAATTCCTGAAACAGTATTCCAAAAATATCAATGACAATCACAAGGGGGAAATTCCCTGTTTCTCGGATTATTCTCAAGATTATAATCTAACTTTATCTTCAGCTAGTTCCTGAAACAGTCACTGAACCGGCTAATCCTAGATTTTTGATTCTTCTCTTCCTGCTTGGATTTTTGGCTATTTTCTTCCTGCTGGGGGGGGGGGGGTCTGGATTTATCCAGGTTTTTCAGTATCAGGCAGGCTCAATTTAAAAGATTTTTGTAAGAGGGGGATCTCTGAATTTGAGGCCAGCCTGGTCTACGAGAGCAGTTTCAGGACAGGTAGGACTTTTAGGCAGAGAAACTCTGTCTTGAAAAGCAAACAGAAAACAAACAAACAAACAAAAGATTGAAACTGGTCTGTGAGGAAATCAATCTAGAAAGCAAGAGGGATCTAGGAAATTCTAAAACCATTTGGCTTCTAGCTCTCTCCCTACTGTTCTGTGAAAGTTTGAGAATAATATTGTTTGTATAATGAGGAACTTCAAAGCTGGGAGGCTCCAACTTGATCATTTATTTATTTATATACAGACAGGGTCTTCTTTCTTTTTTTTTTTTTTTGGTTTTTCGAGACAGGGTTTCTCAGTGGCTTTGGAGCCTGTCCTGGAACTAGCTCTTGTAGACCAGGCTGGTCTCGAACTCACAGAGATCCGCCTGCCTCCGCCTCCCGAGTGCTGGGATTAAAGGCGTGCACCACCACCACCAGGCCAGGGTCTTCTTATATAGCCCTGGTTGGCCCCAAACTCGCTCCCTAGCAAAGGCTGGTCTTCCCCTCACGGAGATCCATCTGCCTCTGCCTACTGAGCGTTGGGATTTATGGTGTGGGCTACACCCACTTGACTAATTTATGGGGATTTGAAATTTCTTTTTTTTTTTTTTTTTTTTTTTTTTTTTTTTTTTTTTGGTTTTTCGAGGCAGGGTTTCTATGTGGTTTTGGAGCCTGTCCTGGAACTAGCTCTTGTAGACCAGGCTGGTCTCGAACTCACAGAGATCCGCCTACCTCTGCCTCCCAAGTGCTGGGATTAAAGGCGTGCGCCACCACCGCCCGGCCGAAATTTCTTTTTTTTATGTATTTGAATAATTTGCTTGCATTTATGTTTATGCACCACCAGCTTCCTTGGTGCCTATGGAGGCCAGAAGAGGGTGTTGGAACCCCTGCAATTGGAGTGGTGATAGTCATGCACTAGTGTGGGTAGTGGGAATTGAATCCAGATTCTCCAAGAGCAGCCAGTGCTTCCAGCGGCTGAAACATATCTCCCCAGCCCTCGTTTTGAGTCTTGAGGAAAGACTTTACTCTGACATCCAGGTGGGCCTTGAATTGTGACCCCTTGCCTCAATCTCCCAAGGGCTCGGATGATAGTGTTGCGTCTGAGATTGCACAAATAATGGGAACCAGCCCACCGGTCTATTAGCCAGAAGCCAACCTTACTCCAAACACAATGGGCTACCAAAAACTTCTAGCTGCCTAGGGCCACAGGCACTGTGACACTAAGAGGCCACAGCAGGAACCATACGCCAGGTGGTGAGTCAGAGGGGTTGAGTCACGGTACATTCTAAGATTCACAACTTTTGATTACAGGGTTTTAGTTCAAGATGTTCCTAAAAGCCTGGCTATCTTACGCAGCTGCTTGCTCCTGTAACTGAAAGGAATGTAGGCCAGAGGGTCACAGAGAAGCTGCTCTTAAAGGTTTACGCTTCCTCCACAGCAGCTAACAGCTCCAATTTTCCTAGCCTATAGGCATACAACTTTTCACATTCCTGGGTTCTTCAGTAGGTTTTGTTAGTGTGAGACTATATTAAAATTTTTTTAATGAAGAAATAAAAAGAAATCAGTCATGGTGACGCATACTTTAATCCTAGAACTCGGGAGGCAGAGATCTCTGTGAGTTCGAGGGTAGCCAGGTCTACAGAGTGAGTTCCAGGACAGACAGGGCTACAGAGAGACCCTGTCTTGAAAAATCCATAAAAAGAAAAAAAAGAAAAAAAGGAAAACGGAAGGAAAACAAGAAAAAGATAAAAAGCAAGCCTGCGAAGTTGGGATTTGAACTGCCCGTCGTCCTCCCTCCCTCCCTCGCTCCCTCCCTCTCCAGTCCCTCCGCAGGGTTTCCCCGGGTCCCCGCTTCCGGGTGGCGGGGGCGTCCGAGGGCAACCGAGGACGTGCGTGCCCCCTTGCGTGCGTACGTGCGTGCGTCGCTCGGAGGCGGGCGAGTCCAAGGGGGCGTGGCGTGTGAGGGGTGGTGCGCGCGGCGCTGCGGGCGGAGGCTCTTGGTGCGCACCGCCTCTTGGCTCCCGGCCTCCCCCGCGCGCGCGCGCCGAGTGGTTCGACCCGACCCCCCGGCTCATTGTGCCTTCTCCTCACGCCGGCCCAAGATGGCGGCGGCGCTGGGCGTCCCGGGTCTGTGACTCCTACAAAGAGGGGAGCCGGGGGCCGCACGGGAGCGGCGGCCGAGGCGCAGGCCGGGCCGTCTGTCCTCTGCCGTCCGCCCCGCGTCCGCCCGCCCCCGCCGCCCGGCTTCCCGCCGGCGGCCCCGCCCCTCCCCCAACCGTCCGCCTAGCATGGTGCGGCGGCCGCGCGCGCCGACATGGGCGAAAAGCTGGAGCTGAGGCTCAAGTCGCCAGTGGGCGCCGAGCCCGCTGTCTACCCGTGGCCGCTGCCGGTCTACGTGAGTGTGCTGGCGGGGAGGCCGGGGGTGGGGGTCGCGGGGCTCCGGGGCTCCGGGCCGGCGGCGGGTCCTCGGCCGTTCCTGGCCCGCGCCCGCGGCTGCCGTTGCCCCGACGCGGCCCGTCGCTCTGTCGCGGCCGCCGGCCTGGCGCCCCGCGTCCCCGGGCGTTGCGGGCCTGAGTCCGGGGCAACGCTGTGGGCAGGGCCACGGGGACTGGGAGGTCGGGGGCGTCTAGTCTCCGTTTCGGTCCTTCGTGACCTTCTCTCGTGTTGTCACCTCATGGCCCCGCACACTGTCGTCTCCGTCTCTCCCTGCTGTCTTTCCGTGTTGTCCCCTCATGTCCTCTTAGGTTGTCACGTTCGGCGTTGGTGGGCAGGGGCTAAAAGGACCTTAGGAAGTTGGGGAGGGTTGGCTGTTCACGTCATCGGGTTGTCCCCCATGTTGGTGGCACGGCGGGAGGGTATGAAAAGTTGTTCTTTCATGTCAGTGGACCAGGCTGGAAGGCCCTGGGATGTTGGCGAGGTTGTCACCTCAGTTTGTCCCTCGCGTGTTATCTCACGTTGGCGGAGTTGGCTGGAGAGACCGTGAGGAGCCGGCCGTTGCCTCCTGTTGGTAGAGTGTCCGTAGAGGCTTTGCACGGTCGGAGAGGTCGTCTCCTCTTGATGTCGTGGCTGGAGGGGCTTGGGAAGTCTGGGAGGTTGTCCCCTTTTGTTGGTGGGTAGGGCTGGTGAGACCCTGGGAAATTGGGGGTGTCACCCTCTCACCCTAAAGAGCCTTGGAAGTGCCAGAGGATTCTGGGTTCTGAAGTCCAGGAGGGCCTGGGGACCTCAGCGGCCTGGTCGCTGGGGATCCTGTATGTGTTTTGAGTAGAAAGCGAAGCATGATGTATGGGTGCTGTTGAGTCTTCGCCTCACTGGGACCCCATGGAATACATCTGTGCCCTGGGATGCCCTTGCAGCTGGGCCTCTGCGCCTTCCCATTGGGCAGCTGTGTGTGTTCTTGAAATTTTCTGCGTCTGCTGAGTGTGGTGGCACACCCTTCAATCCCCTCATTTGGGGGTCAGAGGCAGGCAGATCTCTGTGAGCTCCAGGATGGCCAAGGCTGTTACACAGAGAAACCCAGTCTTCAAAAAAAGAAAAAAAAAATTCCTACAGGTGTTCACTGTCAACTCCGCTGGGGTCAGCTGGATGGCTCAGCCTAGATTCTTGCTGCCAAACCTGAGTTCAATCCCTCTTACATGGTGGAAGGAGAGCACCAACTCCCCCAAGTTCTCCAGCCTCCTCACGTGCACAGCTGAAGGCACTTGCAACAGGCATTTAAAAATGCCTGCCTGTATGCATGCTGGGCAGGGTGGCAAACATTGGGCAGAGGCAGGAGGATCTCTGAGTTCCAGGTTGGTGGCCTGTCTAGAAGGAATCTGAGAAATTGGAGAGGTTCTTCCCTCTTGTTGCTGTGACTAGGACTGTGGGAAACTGAAAAAGTTGTCCCCCAATGTTGGTGGCACCTGAAGGGGTATCGGGAAATCTGGAGGGTTGTGTCAGGTGAGACTGTCTGGAAAAAAGGAAGGTAGTCGGACTTCTCGGGGCTTTTCCTCTTTGGACATAAACGTTCTGATTTAAGTCTCATCTCTTCTTTTCATCTTCAAGGGACACCATTCACTTTTCCCAGGCTACAGTTCTGTGAATTTTGGTCACTGTCACAGTTGAGGTGCAGCACACTTGAGCCACTCCCTCTGCTCCCTGCCTCTCACTTTCTTGGCTGTCACTCTGTGTCTTCTGTTGGCAGCATTTCCCAGAAAGTCCAGTGAACGATCAGCAACGTGTAGCCTGTGACTCTGAAGAGTCACCAAGGAGAATGTGTCTGAGGCTCGCCCACCCACACTGTCTGAGGGCTTGGGATTGCCCCTGGTTTTTCTTCTTAGCTCGGTAACATCTTTTGGATAGTGAGCCAGTTTGGTGATCATTGTATTAGTCACAGGATGCCTGGGCTGGTCCAATGTTTCTTTTTCTATTATTTCTTTGGTCTTGTTATGCCGTTGTGGCTGGCCTGGAACTCACTCTGTAGCTCAGGCTGGCCTTGAACTTTCAGTGCTATCCTGCTTCTGCCTCTAGTGCTGGGGTGCGATGGACTTGCCACCCCAGCGTGTGTGTGTGTGTGTGTGTGTGTGTGTGTGTGTGAGATTAGAGGCAGTGAGTTCTAGGCACCTGCATGTGGGCTCGTCCAAGCTGAAGTAATCCCTGGGAGTATCAAGAGCTGAGTTGCTAGGTCCGTACTGAGTGGACAGTCATCAACCTGAATTCCTAAAGTTGTCATATGAGTACGAAGGGCTAAAAAAAATGTGTCACAACCCTGTTGGTGCCCCAGTGGAGTGGTGCTGCCAGTTTGCCTCTACCTTGTTCCCTGGGGATGAAGATGAAGTGACACTGGCCCACTTCCCACTCTGTGTGAATCAGGCCTTCAGTCGAGCTTGGCGGGAACTAGCTTTCCAGTGGTGGGTGGGAACGGCTGGCCAGCGCCTTTCCCTTGCTGGCCTGGACCTCACTTGCCAGGGTTGAGTATGCTGGCCCAGACATCTGGCAGGCCCATTCCAGCTGTGGCTGTCACATTGTTGTCCAAGGGCCAGCAGGTGGGGGGTGGCATTGGCTTCCACACAGCCTCAGTGGAGACAGCCACTCCACAGTGTCCTCTTCTACCCCTGTTCTCTCATGGAGAGTTCTGCTCCTCAGGAAGCCATTGCCAGTGCCTGGCATACTCCACACAGTGTCAAATCTGCCATTCCAGCACCCAGGAGGTAGAGGTAGGAGGATCCAGCATTCAAGACCAGCTTTGGCTACATAGTTCCAGGGAAGCCTGCCCTACATGTATCAGATCCCCCAGTAAACAAGCAAACAGAAAATCTGTTGCCAGGTGATCCTGTTTCCAAGGCATTGAGAGAAGGGACCATGAAGGCAATCCTGTGGCTGAGGTGGGAGTTCAGGTCATATTGCATGCCCGCCTGCAGTCCTTCCCAGTCTGTTGTGTTTTGAGATGGGGGTGGTCTCAGCATGCCCTGACTCACCCTCCTGGCTTCCCTCAAGAGTGCGGAAGGCCAGGTGTGCGCCCCCAGGTCTGGCTTCATAATCCTTTGTAAAAGCACTTACAAGCTACCTTTGGTGTCCCTGGGGACATGCACAGAAGGCAAAAAGACATTCATCATTGCAGGCTCTGGACCTTCTCAGGCAGATTAGGCCTGAGTGTGACAGTCCCATACTTGAGTAAGGCGTGTCCCTGGGCAGGTGCCAGTGGCTTCTTAGAGGACAGCAGCCATGCTGTCCACACTCAGAAATACCCAGTTTGGGGACCAGGTTTGGAGAACTGACGGGTGGGAGGGGCCATTATCCTAGCAGTTTAGGGCCCTGGGTCCTCATGGAATGACCCTTTCGTCAGAAAGAATGCAGATGCCATTTCTAGTTGTTTGCTTGGCAGACAGCTTAGGTGACAAACTTGAGAGGGAGGGCCAGGGTGGCCTTCCTGTTGGTGACTCAGTAGGCCTTGTGTAGTGGCGTGTCCCTTCTGATGAGCTTGGGAGTCCTGTGGGTGGCTGGGTGAGTCATGCTGTGAGTAGGGTGAGCCAGCCCTACTATGATTCAGAAAGCAGTTTCTGCTGCTGAGCTCCGCGCGTGAGTGTCCTGGCTAATCCCTGCTCATGTGGGCAGGAGGCAGGTTGACCTTTAGCCTGCCTGTGTGGGCTGACCTGCTCCAGAAGTGAAGGGGTGGTGTCAGTGGGCTTCCCTGTGAAACACTGACTCTGCGCTTGCCTTTCAAATCCAACCTTAGGCCACTTACTCTGTTCATGAAGAGACTGGGAGCTGCTGGGGAACCCCAGCTGGGCTTCCCTGTCTGTGGAAGCACTGCCCCTTTTCAAGTTAGACCTTTTTGTTTCTTTTCTGAGGTAGTCTGATTCTGTATTCAGGGCAGTTTGGTACTTACCGAGTAGCCCAGGCTGGCTTCAAACTCTGAACAGTTCTGTCTCATTCTCCCAAGTGCTGCGAATATGGCCATGAGATGTCATGCTGGCTTCAAGTTAGATATTTTATTTGAGGGTAATTATAGGTTCATGCACCCAGGAATGGTCCTGTGTCCTCACTCTTACAAAGTGAAATCCTTAGGTCAGTGAGGAACACCTCCTGTGGGATATATGACTCTTGGGCAGACTACCCAGCTGTTCTCAAGGAGGTCCTGCCCTGAACTGACACTTGGTGATGTCTAGGGACATTTGTTGTTGCCACAACTGGAAGAGGGGAGGCTCTGACACTGGCCCCTGCAGAACTCGGTTCAGGGTGTCAGTGGTGTACAGAAAGACCACACACTGTTGCCTGAAGTTTGGGGGCACAGATCAGCTGCCCCATATCTCTGTTTGCTGGGGCAGTCCTGTCATCTTTTTCCAGGGTCCCCAGAATGCAAGCCAGGTTCTTTTTTTTTTAATATTTATTTATTTATTATGTATACAATATTCTTTCTGCGTGTATGCCTGAAGGCCAGAAGAGGGCACCAGACCTCATTTCAGATGGTTGTGAGCCACCATGTGGTTGCTGGGAATTGAACTCAGGACCTTTGGAAGAGCAGGCAACGCTCTTAACCACTGAGCCATCTCTCCAGCCCAAGCCAGGTTCATTGATTCCCGAACATGGTCTGGCCCTGTGCAGTACTGATGCCCACCTTGTTGCTAGCTTGATTTAGACAAACACGGGTCTGGGCTGTGTGGACACCAACTCCTCTGGGACTGAAGTGTGAGAAGACACGGGATAGCCTCTGAGGTCCTGCACAGACTCCTCTGCTGGTAGAGTGGGCATCCCATAGGCAGGGCAGAGCTACTGGGGGAGGGAGCTTCATGCAATCTCTTTTCTCCCCTCCTTCTCTTCCCCAACCCCCCCTCTCTGTGCCTATGGACTCTTGACTCTGTCTTCCAGACACCTGCCTGGTTTATGTCATGTTGGGGATGGAGCCCAGCCTGTTTTATA